TCCTATTATGGTGTATTCATCGATATTATTCGTGTACGCAGCTGCAAGTTATTAGTATCCTAATGATATTATAATATGACCAGTATACTGTGGTTTAAATATTTTTAATTTTATTTATAATATGTTCAAACTCTGGTTAAATAGGTAAGAATAACAATATTAAAGAATATGGTGGGGTGGCTTAGTGGTAGAACCAACCTCACGGTGAGGAGGTACATCCGTGTTCGATACTCGGACTGTTATTTTGCAGTTTTTCCACGACAACGGATATAATTTGATAAGTGATAACAATTGATAACGATAACTGATAACTGATAACGATGATATGATAACTGATAACAATTGATAACTGATTAGAATAACAGCAGTATACGTATGTCACACACGTACGCGATGGGGCGGCGGCGGCGGACGAGGAAGCGGGCGGTGTGATGAGTGATGAGTGATGAGGGATGAGGGATGAGGAAGAGTGATGAGGGATGAGGTTTTAGAATCGGCTAAAATATACTACTTGAGATAGAAGATAAAAAAAATAAAGATAACAATAGGTAATAAATAATAGTATTAGGTGTACTTGTGTAATGTGTATGAATAATAGTGCCTATTTTTTTTTATAGTACATATTCTAATAGGTGAAGAAACAAGAGTACAAGACTCTAATTTATTTACCTATAAAACACAGTTTTTTATAATTACAAAAACCGTGTTTTAATTATTAAAAATTATTAAATAAAAGTGATAATAATAAAATTCTCAGTAGTCTTACAATAACACTTTAGATAAAAAATTGTAACGGAGCCGCCGAGGTCGATGCTCCGTCACTTGTAATAATTAGCACAAGTGAATTCTTGGGTAATTTTTTTTTTTTTTTATTAATCAATAAAATTTTTTTACAATTTACAATACACAAATGGTGAATACATTACTTGATTATCTATCTCTTTTAAGCATAGCTTGAGTTAGAGATAGAGAGTGTAACAATGCTATTCTCAAAAAGATCAAAAAAAAAAAAGAATAATAATATACAATTCTATAAATAAATAAAATGTGTACAGTTTAGTTAGTTATTTAAATAAAACAATTTTAAAATAAAAATATGGAAAAGTCAAAAATTACAATAGAAAATAATAGACTTGTTTTAAACATATTAAAAATTTAGAATTAAGATTCATAATAATAATAAGGTAATACCAAAAAAAAAAAAACAGAAAATTATTTTGACATTATCAAGTTAAATAACTTGGATATAACTATCTATTAATATATTCATAAAAACAAAAAATAATTAAACTAACTCCAAGAATAAATACTTATAAACACATTGTTTAACACTACTTTGATGCTGATGGATGTTTTTTTTATACTCATATGGCATTAAGTTG